GAACTCAGGGAGGTCTCCAAACTTGAACTGGGAACCTTCCCATGTCAGATTGCCTCACTGTCTATCCCCACTGGGTCACCTTGAGTGTGCTTTCCTCACAGCTCTAAGATAAAGTTGGAATTCTGTTATCCAGAAGGAGAAGCTAAAGCTTAGCCAGTAGCATGCTTAGTCTACTATCTCACAAGAGAGGTCCCTCCCTGCACAGCCCCATTCTCTGGATCTTCCTGCTTTCTCCTTCAATCTGCCTTGCTTCCTTAAACATATAGTTGTCTTATTTATTTTTTAAAGTGTAGTTTTGAACATGATTTCTCTAGATGCCTCCTGGTGTCAAATAAGTACTCCATTTCCAGATGCGTATTATTTTTCCAGAGTTTGTTTACTCTCCAATGTAAGCATCTCCAGATGGGGTGCTGGTGTGTCAGCACTTTTGTTCCCTTACTGGGAGGAACTCTGCTCAATTCCACAAGTACTCGTTGAGAGCTTAACATGTGCTCAGCTCTGTACTGTTTTCCTTAGAAGATACTCGAATGGTGGAAAATGTGTCTTGGCTCTGAGAGAGCTTCCAATTCAACATAAGCAGTGTCAGGACCAGGTCAGGCAAACAGAGTGCTAGAACTCAGACTTTGGAAAGGTATTCAGTCTCAGGTCATACAAGTACGGGGTGGATACCTGAGAGTGAGTGCTCTTTACGTCTCGAGCCTGGAGACTCTTGCTTGCCCTACTGTAATCCTGGATCCGGACTTCTGAAGCAATTAAGTCACTTGAATTTGCAAAGCATGTTTTAGATAACATAAAACTGTGAATGAGTGCTGTAACTGTGCTCTCATACTTAAGGTGCATACCAGTCACCTGGAAATTGTATTAAAAAGCAGATTCTAATTCAGTAATTTCAGAGTGGTACCTCAAAGTCTGCATTCTAACAAGGACCCAAATAGTTCTAGTCCTTTGGCCATACTGCGAGTAAAAATGAGAAAAATACACTTTGGAGAAAAGCAGGGGGCCAAATACAGTCAACTAGGGGATCAGGGAAGACTTCTCCAGAAAAAGTGAAATTGGAACTGGGTTTTCAAAGGATGCTTTGTATTTTAATAGGAAAAAAGAAGGAGAGAGACATTGCATGTTGAAGAGTAGCAAAGGCCCAGAGACAGGAGTGAGTTCTGTATATTTTGTGTCAGTGAGCAGGTGGACTTGGCAAGATGCAAGTGCACGTTGGAAAGGAAGAGAAGAGTCCATCATGAAACCCGTGCAATGATTGTGGACCTTAGAAATGGGACTCTTAAGTCCGTTCTGGTACCGTCCAATGGGGCCCTTCCGTTTTTTGCATCTATTTGTCCCTGCTTCAGAGTATGTTACCTTTGCCCTCTGGGAAATGGAGGCCCACATCAGGACACCCAGTTGAATTCTGTGAGACGGTGTGGAGTAGGGTTAGGAAGGAGGGTGGTTGACTTCATTATACAGGTAGGTTGGGCCAATTCTTGCCATTTTTTTCCCCACTTAACTAGGACATGTAGAAGCCAGAAAATCCTTCTTGCATACTGATGGACATTCCCTATACCCACAAAAAAGATACCTGGTGAAATATGTGCTGGTTTGACAGGGGAGTAGAATGCAGTTCTGCCTGTTTAATTTGAGATGTTCTACTTAAGATGCTTTTCTGAAGTTATTAGAGGAGTGGAAAACTGGGCCTTGAATATTTTAAGTAGTAAAGGAATATTTGATTCATTCGAGTGTGGCCTTATCTCCCTTCTCTAGATGAAGAAATATTTTGCAACTTAATTCAGTATGTGAAAGTATGGAGTGACTTAGGTATTGAAGCTTGCTTGAGTGTGCTTCTGAAAGGCATTTAGAAGGGTATAGAAGGCTTCAGTTATTATTTTAGAGCAGAGGTTTCTAACTGGGGGTTATTTGTGCCCTTCAGGGAACATTTAACAATGTTTGTAGACATTTTCTTTTAATTTGCTAGAGGGCACATGTACTTGCTGGGGTGAGACAGAGAGAAAGAGAAATTCAAATAGTACCCCCATGGGGCAAGATCGCTGTGCAAGTCCCTCTCCATCTCTCCTTCTCTTCCAGATTTTGGGCATGCAAGCACATGTGCAAGGTGTGCCTTTTTTTTTTTTTTTTTTTTAAGAGACCCAGAAAACGAGAAATAAGCCCCCCAGGGGTGGGGGTGGCCACACTGCAGTCCCTTCTCCTCTATGCTCCTCTTGGGATTTAGGGCACGCACGCACATGCACACAGTGTGAGTTCAAGCCTTCAGGTCTGAGACTTGAACCACGGTTAAGCTAGTGGTAGTCTTGTGACATAGTCATTATGCCATCTGCTGGTCCTGTAAGGTGTGCTCTTTTCAATTTTTTAAAAAGAATTATTTATTTAATTTATTACTGTTGTTTAAATTTGACCAGAAGGAGACAGAGGGAGGGAAGGTAAGAAAGTCAGATGCCAGGTCCAAGACCTGAACCATGGTTAGCCATGTGGGAGCCTAGCACCTTAACCACCACATTACCTGCTGGTCCTGCAAGGTGTGCTTTTAAGCCAATATACTGGGACTCGAAATACAGTCAGCCATGTGGAATCCATCTCCCTTAATCACCACACCACCTGCTGACCCATGTATTCATTCTTTAAGAATTATTTTATTTTGGGGGCCAGCAGGTAATGTGATTGGGACACTGAACTCCCACATGGCTGACCGTGGTTCAAATCCCAGACTTAGCAGCTTGTTTTCTCACTCTCCCTCTTTCTCTCTCTCTCTCTGGTCAAATAGGAAAAATAATAATAATAAAAAATAATTATTTTTTAAAAGAATTTATTTTATTATTAATTTTTAATTTAACCAGACCAAGACAGAGAGAGAGAGAGAGAAAGTAAGAATGCAAACCACCAGGTTTTGGATTTGAACCATGGTCAGCCATGTTGAAGTCCAGTGCCCTAACCATCATGCCACCTGCTGGCTCTGACAGCCTTAATTGTTATAACTGGGGAAATGCTGCTGGCAGTGTGCAGGATACTCCTCCAACAAAGAATTAACCATCCCCAAATATCAGTAGTGCCATGGTTAAAAAACCCTGCTCTAAAAAGAAAACTATTGAGCCAGAAGGTGGCAGAATAGTTAAAGTGCTGGGCTCCCATGTTGATGACCACAGTTCAAGTCCTGGACTTGGTGGCTTGAAACTCACACCAGGTGCGCGCACATGCGCGTGTATGTGTGTGTTTGTGTGTGTGTGTGTGTGTGCCCAAAATCCCAAGAGGAGAATGGAGAAGGAATTTTGGCATGACCATACCCCTGGGGGGTGGTTTTTTGCTTTCTCTCTCTCTTTCTGGCGAGCACATGCACCCTATAGCAAAAATCTCTGTCTTAAAAAAAAAGACAAAACTACCAAATAGGACTAGAACTTTGAGGGCAAAAGCTATTCCACTAGTTAATGGCAGGGGAGGAGACTACCAAATAGGACCAGAACTTTGAGGGCAAAAGCTATTCCACAAGTTAATGGCAGGGAAGGAACTAAAATTCACTTCGCCCAGGTCTGATGATTTGCCTGCCACCATGGAGCCATTTAGTATCTTGTGGTACTGGATCATATTCTGGATTGTATGGTAGAATATCTTATATAGCTTTAAGTAGAATATTTATATAGCTAGTCTGTTTGTCTGTCTTTCTCACTAGGCTCTGACCATCTTGGAAGTTAGGACTCTCACATTTTCCCCCTTGTTTTTTGCTATGGTGCATGTGGACAGAGAAAGATGGGAGGGGGAGGAGTGGAGGAGTGAGAAAGCATCCCCTGGTGGGATGACCACCCTGCAATCTCTTCTCCATTTTCCTCTCTGGATTTTGGGCACACATGCACACACTCCCAGCATATTTTACAAGCCACTAGGTCTGGGATTTGACCTGGGGTTAGCCATGTGGGATCCAGCCCCTTCCATCACCGTGCCACCAGCTGGCCCAGGACCCTTACTTTTCTGCCCTCATGGTCTAGCAGACATGTAACACATGTTCAATTACAGACATGAATCAAAGTAAGTAGTTATAGAAGGGAGATCATTGTAAAATAGTATGGGGAGGGTTTCCTGGAGATTGTAAAACCTGAAGCTTTTAATTCCTTGGATGAGTATGTGAGCACCTTACATAGGGCAAGAACAGTTCTAAAGCAGTAATAAGATTTTTTTGGTGTGTCTTTCTACAGGTCGACATGTCAGACCTCTCCCCAGAGGAGCAATGGAGGTAAGTATAGTGATGGGGGGGGGGCGCACAGGTTAACCCAGCTAACGGAATTATGTATCTGCCCTTTGCTTCGCTGTCTGGGGGAGACAGTGGCTCGTGACCAGCAGGACAGGTCTTCTGAGATTTTTCCAAGTTCCTTGGTAGCCCCCTTGGTCTTGGAGAATAAGCAGGTAATCACACAAAGCCATCCATCTGCATTTGAGTTTTGCCATTTACCAGCTATGGAATCCAGGACAAGTTACTTAACTTCACACTGCTTAAGTTTGCGCCATTTGTTAAATGAAAATCACGATGGTACCTGCTCCTCATAGAGCTGTGAGGATTAACGTATGTTGAAATTTTAGAACCGTGCCTGTCATGTGGTAAGCTTCCAGTAAGTGTGACCTGCTTTGAAGATGATTGGCATCATGAGTGTCTTCATCATCATTATCCATTCAGGATGGAAAACCCTAGGGGAGAAAATGGGAGCTGTGTATTCCGACCTCTGTCTGCTGCTAACTTGCATTGTCACCAGAAGGAGTCCACAAATATCTCAGCAATAAAGGGGTTTCAGAGTATCTGCCCTGCACACTTTCCAAGGTGGCTGACTCAAGAACTGAAATCAACCAAGTAAAAGGACAAAAACCCTTAGATGATAGTATTGATTATAAAAATAGAGAATGGCTGGATTCCATGTGGCTGATTGTGCAGTCCACGTCTGGACCCGGTAACTTGAAAAACATTCCAGGTACATGTACATAATATGCCCAGAATTGTGAGAGGACAAGGGATTACAGTGTGGCCACCCCCCCTGGAGAAATGTTCTCACTTTCCCTCTTTCTCCCTTCTCTCTCTCTCTCTCCAGCTAGTTCATGCACCCAATGGCAATAAAAAAAAAAAAAAGAGAACATATAGAATATATATATTACATATATATAGCATATACATATAAATAAAACACACAGAAAGATGACAACTTGTATGATAAACCCAGTGTGATTTGCGGTGACTTTAATATCAATTTGCACAAGTTGTGTACCTCAGCTGCTAGGATATTTGCTTTGGGTGGGAACCTGCATTGGATGATTTCTGTGGCCTTTTCTAGGTCTTTTCATTGATTTCATGTCATGCACATCCATTTAGTTATGTGTACGAGAATTGACTGAGAATAAAAAAACATATCTCTTGATATTTTTATAACTCCCCACAGCCCTTAGTTTTTTTCGTTGTTTGTGTTTTTAAGGTTTTTGCCATGGGGCATGTACAGTTGCCAGAGACAAAGAGAGGGAGGGTGAAAAATCAGCCTTCCCCCCTCCCAGGGGCGATGACCACACTACAATCCCTTCTCCTCTATTTTTCTGGGCTCCTGAGCATGCACACACACCATGTGCCTGGTGTGATTTTCAAGCCTACTAGATCTGGGACTTGAACTACTGTCAGCTGGGTGGGAATCCAGTGCCTTAACCATCATATCACTTGCTGGCCCACATTTCTTTTTTCTTTTTCTTCCTTCCTTCCTTCCTTCCTTCCTTCCTTCCTTCCTTCCTTCCTTTCTTCCTT